AGGCACCACTGGGGCCAGCTGGAGCCCTGGAGCGCGGGGTTCCTACCAGCGCTGCGCACCCTCGCCGACGTGGAGCCCCACTTCATCGGCGCGCAGGCCATCTTCGCGCTGCAGCAGTTCGCCAAGGTGCGGGCCCAGACCTGGGAGCAACACCTCATGCGGCAGCGCTCCAAGCGGTTCTACGAGTGCCTGAGCGCGAAGTTCCCAGGCTCAGGGGGCTACTTGCACCGCATCTGCCACTGGAAGCAGGCGTGGAAGGAGCCCATCTCGTCGGCCAAGAAGCTGAAGCTGCCAGCGGACCCGCAGCTCGCGGTCAATCAGGAGGCGCAGGAGTGGGCTAGCATTTGGCGCGCTGGGTCAGGTGACTACACCAAGTTGTGGCAGGGCGCTCAGGTCCATGCCCAACGGTTGGCCCACGCGCAGGAGCTGCCCATCATCGACGCGATGCAGGTGCGCACAATATGCCGCAGTTACAAGTGGAAGACGGGGCTCGGGCTTGACGGCTGGCGCTTCGGGCACCTGGCCTGGCTCAGTGACGAGGCTTTGACCAGCCTCGGGGACATCCTCATGCTGTGCGAGCGGCTCTGCTCGTGGCCCACGGCCATGCGCATGCTCATACTTTTCCTGGTCGCCAAGGAAGACGGCGGCGGCAGGCCCATCGCCCTTTTTCCCACGCCAGTACGCATCTGGGAGGCTGTTCGTGATCCCTTGATTCGGCGGTGGGGGCGGGCTCACGTGAGGCCCTACGACTGGGCATCACCAGGGCGCAGCAGTGAGCATGCTGTTTGGAGAGCGATGCTGGACGACGAGGCCCTGGAAGGTACCTGTTTCGCGTCCCTCACCGCCTTGATGGATTTGGAGACGGCGTATGAATATGTAGCGCTCAATTTGATTTGGATTCTCGGCATGGTGCAGCAAGCACCCATGAGTGTCTTGGCCCTTTCTCTGGAGTCGTACGCTTTCCCTCGGGCGGTCCGAAAGGGCCAGGCCGTCGCCGACGCCATTTGTACCTACGTGGGGTTGCCCGCTGGGTCGAAGTATGCCAATCGCTTCCTGAAGATTGTGCTGTATCCGATCCTGGACGTCGTGGCCCGATGGCCAGGGGCCAAGCTGGAGATCACGAAGTTTGTGGACGACTTAGCCCTGCGGATGGTGGGCAGGAGCGCACAGCTGAAGGTGATCTTCCCCGACCTGGCCCGCACCCTCATCCGCCTCTTGGAGTCGCTGCTGCAGCTCAAGGTCTCGAAGGGTGAGGGAGGCAAGTCAAAGTTCGTCTCCAGCGACGGCTCCTTGGCACAGGAGCTGGCACAGCCCATGGCGGACATCGGCCTGCAGCACGGCGAGAGCGAACGCTGGTTGGGCGTGGACTACCAACCCCAGGGTCATCGGAGGAAGGCCACCAGAGCCAGACGGGTCAAGACTGCTCGAGGCCGCTGGCACAAGGCGGCGGCCCTCAATCGACGAGGGGTGAGGGTGCGCCCTGTGGTGCAGCAAGGCCTCAAAGCGTCAGTTGCGTATGGGGCGACCTGCGCTGGCACCCCTCCTGCCGCCCTCAAGTTCGTCATGGCCAAGACAGCTGCTGTGCGTGCGGGGGCTGGGACCTTTCGTTCGGGCACGTTGGGCTGGGCGATCGCGCCGAGGACGGACGGCGCCGAGCAGCTCAGGATCGCCCCTCTTCGGGCATGGCTACGCGAGGCCTGGGGCCAGCCCGAGAGACGGAAGGAGATGGCCCACGCGTGGGGCCGTCAGTGGCCCATGGTGCAGCGTGCCCTCACCTATGGCCCCGCCAAGTTCGACGCCTGGAAGATGGCGCGGGGGCCAGCGGCTGCCACCATTCTGACGGTGCACGAGCTGGGATGGCACATGGAGGACGCCTGGACCATCCTCGACGGCGTCCACGGCAAGTGGGACATCCGCGAGGTCGCCCCCCTTCGAGATCCTGCGGTCGGCAGAGAGGGCGGTCGCAAAGAAGAAGCTCATGGACTGGGCGCTCGCTGATGAGGAGCGCCAGCCGCTCCGACCCACTCCCTTCCTGTTGCCAGTCAAGCAGCTCATGCGCTTCAAGCCCACGGAGACCTGGACGAGACACCACATCAACAGTGCCAGGACGGTCGCGCTAGGAGGTTACCCTGTACATACGGTGTGCTACGAGCGCGGCCAGGTCACGAGTCCTCTGTGCCCTTTGTGCGGCAAGAAGAAGGGCACTTTGTTGCATGTGTATTTTCTTTGTGATGCAGATGTGTGCGTCACGATTCGTGATGGGCTCACGGAGCCGACTCTCAAGCACAGTTTTCGGGGCGTGGTGCGTTTGGGCGAGACGGCCGCCACGAAGGAGGAGCAGGGCTGCAGAGGCGGTGACACGCTCTTCTGGAAATGGGCTCGCGGCTTGATCGCGGACCCCGTGGCCGCCTACCAGGTGCCCACGCCGCCCGACGAGTGCCAGTGGGGCGACCCTGACGGTGAGATGGTCCTGTCGGGCAGGGTGGCCACGGACGGATGCGTCCTGTCCCCCGACGTGGAGGAGGTTTCCACGGGAGGTTTCGCCGCCATCACCTGGGGCGCTGAAAAGAAACGTGAGACTCAGTCATTGTTCGGTGCTGTGCCAGTTGCGAGGCCCACGTCGGCCCACTGTGAGATCTGGGCTGTGTACCAGGCTGTAAAGCACTCGGTAGGGCTCGTAGGGCTCCTGATAGATAGCAAGCAGGTCGTTCAGGGGCTCTTGGCGGGCAAAGAATTTTGTGTGAATAGCGAGCAGATGACCGCGCACCTTTGGAAGCTTGTTTGGGATGCCCTGGAGGACCAGTGTCTCATCCCAGGAGAGTCCCTTCAAGTAGTCAACATAAAGTCTCACATGACCAAGGCCCAAAGGGCCTGTCTTTCTGGTGAGAGTCTTGTGCACTTTGATATGAATAGGTGTGCGGACGCTCGTGCAAGACAGGGAGCTGACCCCTATGCCGCCCCAAAGTGGAAGGTGGAACAGGTCCAGCAGTGTCTTAAATTTCAGAAGAGGCTGCTACAGTATGCAGCATCTTTCCGTGTGGATCTTAGTGAAGCCAAAGCTACCACCACGAGCCTGCCGTCCCCTGCTGGTCGGACTCGGAGGAGCGAACGTATTGCCCGCCCTTTGGCAGTCGCGCCTGAGCGGGCCCACCGTTTTAGGCTCCTAGAGGGTGGTAAGTGGCAGTGTCTGGAGTGCTCTCGCCTCGTCCGTGTGGCCGCTCGTCTCAGCATGGCCAAGCGGGAGTTGTGCCCTGGAGGGGGGGGGCCATTTCAAAAGGCAGGGCCCGTTTGAAAGTCAAGGCCCTGGTCCACGGCGAGTGTGTGACGGACCAGATCCGTGCCGCTGCGGCTGAGAGGGCTGCGGAGGCGAGGGGGTCTGGATCCCAGGTTTCACCCCCGCCCCCACCTCGGGAACACGAAGTGGTTGAGAAGGTGGGTTATGCTGTGTGCCGAATTTGTGGGGCTTTCGCCCGTTCCCGAACCCAGAAGTTGTTGCGGGAATGCGAGGGCCCTTTGACGAAGGGTATTGCCGCCCATCGGTGGCGGAAGCTCTATCGTGATCGAATCCTGGACGGTAAGAATCCGTACACGGGAAAGCCCGTGAGAGAGCAGGATTGACCTGTTTGGCCAAGGTGATGTGTGGTCCTGAGGCCCATCCCCAAGAGCCCCCCAGTCAAAAAAGAGGAGGAGGAGGAGGAGGAGGAGGAGCAAGTGAAGGGCTGAGGAGGTGGTGGAGGAGGAGGAGGAGGAGGAGGAGGAGGAGGAGGAGGAGGAGGAGGAGGAGGAGGAGGAGGAGGAGGAGGAGGATTGTCCCGGTTGTAGCCTTAGATTGCGGGCCAGCCACTCACACCTCACCCCGTCGGTGGCAGGGGGATGGCCGATGCGGGCGGCCGCCTCGCACCTGAAGGTTTGGGGGATGGCGGATAGCCACGATGCTGAGGGGCTTAGCGAGGAACACCGGTCGATGTTCCACCCTGTATCGACATCGCTGGCCGCCACCCCCTCCTCACCCCATGCCCCAGGTGATCCTGTCGAATCGGGGCCCCTACGGGGTGGCATCCCGAATGGGGGCAGCGAACTTGCCGCAGCAGTGGTCCGCAAAATCTTGCTGGCGTGCTCAGGCCACTAAGTCTCCACGGCAGTCGAGACAGTTGGCCAAATCCTTCCATCGCGTGCCAATGCTCGCCGTATCGTGCCTGTGCCCTTGATAGAAAATTTATCTAGCAATGTGTGCCGTGTGACCGCAACCAGGCACCGGCTTTGCGTGCTGGTCCGTCCGATTGTGCGGTACACGCCCATGCCACGGGAGTTCGTGACTTTTTCGTTGCTGTCATGCGGTGCGGCATAGATCAAAGCCTTCCTTCGCGCACCAACTGACGACATCGATGTCTGAAGGCCTTTTTCCCCTCCGGCGGCTGAGTGCATCGAAGCGCATCCCTTTGGCGGCGGCCGGCTAAAGGTCCAACCCATTTTTATTTGGTTCTGTTGAGGGTTGCGCTGCGTACGACTTCAAAAATCCCATCGGGAGGACTTAGCGTGAAGCTGCTTCCCCTACCTGCCTTTTCCCGCCCTCCTGCCTGCCTCCGTCCATTCGTGCCCTCAGTCCTGTGGAGAAGACTCCCTAGTAGCGCGGGAGAAACTCTAGAGGAAATCTTCTACAGGAGCGAGCTCTTCCAGCACCTTTGCCCTTCCCCTCGCGTGGGAAGGGTGCCGCCCTTCCCTGATCCTCTTTAAATTGGCCCTGGTATGGTCGCTGGCGGGGCGGCCATTACAAGGCAGGCTGAGGTTGCTTATGCGGCCGCCCTCCGACACGCAGCCACACTTCATGCATACAACTGGTATGCCGTCTGGCGTCGATGTGACGAACAGCTTGTGCCCTCGCCTTTCGGATATTAGAGCGCTGAGACCTGGTTGTGCCCCGCGCGCTGGAAGGCTAAAAAAGGCGGGTCTCCAACGGCGGAACCATTAAAACTGGTGCCCGTTGGGGGGCGGGCGGAAAGCACGGCATGGGCCCCGTGCGACTTCACCTGGCAGTGCTGGCCGCGGAGGTGCATGGGGGCGAGGGAGATCCGCAGGATTTGGCTGTGCCCTGCTCGCTCCTGGGCGCACAGCAGTATTTCCTGCTTGGCCAGCGCTCAGGCTCGAGCTCCCGCGCTCACTTCGCCCTCGCATTCCCGACGGACTTCCTGTAGCGAGGTGCGGCGGCGGCTCAGGCAACGTGTCCCTTGCCGCCTCCGCCCCCATCCTGAAATGCGGTTCCCTCAACGCCTTGTCAAATGCCGATATCTGCTGCTTGGTCGGCGCCAGCCTTGGGTACAGCAGAAGACACTTGGACACATATCTGAGGTACCTCTGGAGAGTTGCCTTTTTCTTCGGCATGTGCCTCCCTCTCAGCTTGGGAGGGCTCTGCCAACGAGGCTGCCCCTAGTTTTGCATAGCGGTCTGCAAAATCGTTGCCGGTAGCTAAATACCATTCTCTGGATTGCGGCTCCAGCTGCTCCAGATTTCAATGCGCGGCAACTATTGATATCGTGAAGTTTGCATGCCACGTCGGCGAAGCACGTATCTTGATTCGCATGCCCGCATAGACGTGCTGCTTCGAAATCACCTTCGGCCATAGGGCCGTGGTCAGGCGGACCAAATCGAGGAAATCAGAGTGTATGCCCGTTGCTTCCGGGCAGTGCTCCATTACGGCCAGGGCGGCCACGTGCTCGGCCGCGGTGGGCGTCTGTGGATATTGGTCGCCTACCGCCCCCGGAGGGCCGCAAAGAGGTCGCCGCCAGCCGTGAGGTTGACAACTGCCCAACCAGCAGCATGAAATTCCTCTGGCCCTTCCTTGAGGCAGGATCCATCTGTGAAAACCTCCCGGCGGAAGGCAGATAGCACCGTGCTTTCAGGCACAGCACACCTGAACTCGAAAGGCGTCGTACCTGACCCGCTCGGAGCCTGCACTGAAAACTCTGGCAGTAGAAGAAAACCTCCTACCAGCGGAAAGTTTCTCTGGCGGTCTGTGAGGATGATCTCATCGACTGGCTCCAGCATCTCACCGCGGAGAGGAGCCGATAGCGGGCAATGGTGCAATCTGTGCGAAAGATGATCGCTGTGGTGACCGCGTGCGCACTGCGTCGAGGCTGCATGCCCCGCCTGCCTGAGCTTGTGGCCAGTCCAAACGGATTGGCAAACAAAGGACATCAGGACACCGGCCTCCTGCCTGTTCATACCTCCTTTCAAGATCAAGCTCCGAGCCGCGCTCAAGTCCAGCGACGCCCCGGGTTTCAATCCGAATTTACTGGCCACCGTGGCTAGATGCATGTTCTGCCAAGCTGCGCACAATTTTTTTTGTTGAAAAACTTGGGCGAGAAAGCCGTGATCGGCCACAGTTTACCAGATTCGTCCTTGAAAGCTAGCGCTGAGTGAAACTGCCAGTTTATGCGGCGCAGCGAGAACACAGCAGCCCCTGAGAGCCCCCTCACCTCTCGCCACGCACGCGGGGGCTTGTCATCGATATGAGCGGCCAGCTCGAGTAGGCGCGGTAGCTGGAAATGATTACTTTCCGATCTGTCCGTGCCAGCTCTCCAAACCAGCTTGGTCCACAAGAGCGCAGGTGCCATCCCTGCCGCCAGGTGGGGTCCTGGTGCAAGGCTAAGGAAATCGATCTTGACCGTGCGTTCCCCCTTGCTCCTTCAATGGGGAGAAAGAAACTTTGGAGTCGATGGAACTCGGCCTCATCCACTCCTGTGACTTCCGCCCCGTATGCGCCGTGCGCGCTGAGTCCGCTGACAAAAAGCTTTCTCACGTTGGTGCCAGCTCTGCGAAGGGCTGCCAGTCTGCGTTTCCTGGATTGGAGCTTTGTCAAGCGCCCTTTCAAAACTAGGCGGCTGCTGCGGCGGTTGCGAAGGTTAACTACGGCAAATTCGGTTCCTAAGTTTTTCCAGACATCGCAATCTGACCTGCGTTTGGCCCTCGCGCTTTGGCTAGCATCTTGCGAAGGCCTTCTGAATTGGCTAAGGTGATTGACTTTCGGTGTGCTACAGAGCACCCCAAATCTTGCTCAATGACCTGTATCAAGGAGTCCGCGCCCGCCTTCAGCTCCTTGGTAACCACCTCGGGGCTCTCGTCTGTGGTCCCCAGGTGGAATTCAGCTATGAACAAAGACTGGGTGCCTGGGGTGCGCGATTTGCCATGTGTCCAATGGTTCGAGTGTGGAAGCTTGCGCCAAATACGTATCAAACAGGTCACCTGCCGCTAACCCTTGGCTTGGGTATCCGGTGGGCACTGTCGACCCTTCGTGCGTTGCGTATCTCATTGCCTGGTGCTGGTTGAGAACCGCGCTCAGAACCGATGGCGGGAAGTTGCTATCAGCCGTTCTTCTCCAAAGGATCGGGCGCTGAACATGCTCGTAATAATCTGACATGTCCCACAAACGTGCCCCGGAGTGCGCTGGTCGATGCCTGCCGCGGTAGCTTCGGGAACCAGTGCCTGTTGGAACACCAGTTCGGTGATGCTGCGGCCTTTCTGGTGGCACAAATATAAAGCCTGGGGTGTGCAACTTCCCAAGCTTTGGCAAGCGGCAGTCTGCGCTTCGCCCATGCCCTGTAAATCGCTGGCAGGAGTCCTATGCTACGGAACGCTGGAACACCTGGCTGCTTTGCGACCGCCTTCCGAAGAAGAGTTGCAATCGTTGCTAGTAAGGCCGAGGGGAAGCGCCCGTGCAGCTCCACCGCGTGGATCAGCTGCGCTACAACCTCCAGTTGTTCAAGTGAAAGGAGCGCAACATGCCTAGGGTGAAAACCATCATATATTTGCGCTGTTTCTTTAGAACAAGTTTTCGACGCGTCCTTAATTTCTTCTGGCTGCAAAGGCGGCAAGTTTCCCTCTCGGGGCGGCTTAGAAGGAGGGCGGGCTCGCTGCTCGGTGCACCGCAGCTCTGCCAACCTGGTGGCTTCTGCACCCAGGAGGTTGGATGGCCGTCCAGACCACACTTCGTGCCATCGCACTTGCTTTGGCGTCCACATTGATTGGTGCTTGGGCCATCTGTGCGCCCATCCGACAGACTTCGCGTTGGCCTTCGTTGCCCAGTCGCGCCGCGCTTTGGTGCGGTCTCGGGCTTCCAGAGACAGCTCGTGTTTGAGCTGCTCTGCGATGTCCTGAGCTGGCCTTTCTAGGAGCTCTAAAGCTTGTTTTACTGGCAGGGCAACTGTCTACCCATCAGGCGCTATTTGCCGAGTCAGAGCTGTAACGTCTTGGAGAGTCAGCTGCGTCTCATCGCCCAGATTCGGCCCATCTGCGGGCACATCTTGGGCTCTAGCCGCGGCCTCCTCGATCGGAGCGCCAGCGGCAAAACTCCTGGCGAGATCTTGCAGATTGTTGGCGATCCCGCGTACGGTCGGTGCCTTGGGAACCCAAGACCCGTGGTGTTTCCCGTCCGTCTTAAAATCGACGGCCGAACGCCACTCGACGCTAGGTCTCAACCCTCGCGGCCTGCGATCTCAGCCGCAAGTTCTTCAGCGAACGCATTGTAAAGTATGTCCAACAAGCGTTGCTTTAAGTCGTCGCTCTGAGCAGATTGCAATTGCGAGATCAGCTTGGCTGAGGCCTCCTTGAGGTGGCTCCACTCTGCATGGCGTAGTTGCGGGTCGATCATGGCCACCACAGGAAATCTGCTGGGCCTCCTGAGCACGGGGAGCAAGACTGCCCTATTCGACTGAATCGAAAGGCTGACGGGGCGATGCGGCGAGGATCCGAAACTAGCGTGCGAGTTCATGTCCTTCACCAGGGGGTAAAGCGTGACCGAAACCAAAAAGTAATCTAGCTTCGAGGCCACCTTTTCCGCGTAGTGGGTGGCTTTCGCAGGCGCTATTACATTGAAGCGGCCTCGCTCTCCAAAGTCAGTCTTTAAAATGTGCGAAGGGTCCATGTTCAGGACCCCCCCCTGCCGGGACTGGGAGCCCTGTCTCGTGCTGGAGTATGCCTTGCCTGCGTGGGCCAGTAGTGCACGGTTTGCTTCGCTTAGCTGCACCATTGGGAGGAAGTAAAGTGAAGCTACAAGGAGTGGCGTGAAACCTGGCGTCTCATATCTGACGGCCACCAGGCGCGATGGCTCCACGCAGGTTGCCAGGCCTTTCGGGGGTGGGGATATCCCTACGTCTTTGCCCGATCGCACCAAGATCGCCGCCCTTCCCGTCGCCCTGTTCTCGGCTGAACGGACGGCGGGGTTAAGCGCAGGGGGCCGGCATTTGCTGCGACAGTGCTCGGCAGCTAGCTGCATGTCATGCGGGTCGTCCAAGAGCGTTTCTGGGAGAAGGAAAACTGCGAATGGGTCCAACGGGCCGTCTTCGAGTCGGTCCCGCACGGTGGGCCAAGAATTCCCGTTGAAAGTGGCAGGCAATCTGGGCTTGACTGCATTTGGGACCATAAGGGAAGTCACCGCGCTGGGCCGCTCTTCGCCGCGAGCTAGTCCGCTCCCGTGCTCGTTGCCCCAGCGACGGGGCCTCCCTTGCCGCCGCGGCTGGCGTCGTGGCCGTGTCTGCGGCGGCTCCGCCGCCTATCGGAGCCTCCGACGCGGGTGTAGCTGCTGCGGCTCCCTCAGAGCCGTCAGCACGGGCTGCTGCGGTGGGGTCTCCTCGCTCTCTTTCTCTCTCTCTCTCGAGTCTCTTCGAGCTTGGTCACGTGGCCTCCCTCTTCATTGTCGTTCTCCTTCTCTAGCCCCGCGGCTTTCATCTGCGCACCGAGCCCCTCAGATACCCGATTTATGTTCAACACTTTCTCCTTGCATGGCGCTGCCTTCAGGCTTGGCGCAGGGGCGAGCTCTGGTAGCTGCGTCTGCGCTTGCGGGCCAGCCATATCCTTCCTCACTTTGTCCATGAGCTCTGTCTCGGGCAGCTCCATGTCTTCTGGGTGCGTCCTGCAATGCGCGAGCAACTGCTCCCGGATAGGCTCTGCAGGCCCGGCCGCGGGCTTCATCGATGCCTCGATGAGATTGAGCTGCTCCTTCTTGTCTATGAGACCTTGGGACTTCAAATTAATGTTATCCCCAAGCTTGTTGTAATCGGCGCATTTCTGATCTATCAAATATTCTAGCTGTCTAAGTTCGTCCTTCATGCGGTGTACGGCCTCTGTGTCATCTTTGATGGACTGCTTCAGGCGGTCGGCCTGTGTCGACGAAGGGAGCGCTAGGAACGATTTCCTCTTG